CCAGTGCTCCATTATTCGGTAATCTGCAGATAAGCGAGGTACCCGCTTACACATCGTCACTATGTGCAATTTGTTGATGCGGCGCCTGATAACGATGAAGAGTTATGGCTGAGCCCTTTGTAATAGGTTGAAACTTTTAAATGGCCTACTAGTTTCGTAATTTTTATTGTGTGGCGCCCAGGCACTGTTTTACTCTCCTAACACGCTTTGTTACACATGTTAACGGTGTTCCAAATTTAACTACACTTGCGAGGCACCCGCTACCCCGCACGTCATCGTGATTTTTGTGTTGTAGAGAAGCCGTCCGCCATGCCATTATTCATCATCCTGCGGAGAAGCGAGGTACCCGCTAAAGACGTGTAGGACACCGTGTGAACTTTGTTGAAGCGGGCCTCGCCACGGTGGTCTATTGTGGCTAAGGTACTCGGCTGCTGACCCGCAGGTCGCGGGATTGAATTCCGGCTGTAGCGGCTGCATTTCCGATGGAGGCGGAAATGATGTAGGCCCGAGTACTCAGATTTGGGTGCACGTTAAAGAACCCCAGGTGGTCTAAATTTCCGGAGTCCGCCACTACGGCGTCTCTCATAATCAAATGGTGGTTTTGGGACGTTAAACCCCACAAATAAATCAATCAATTTGTTGAAGCGGTGGCTGATGACAATGAACAATTATGGCTGAGTCTTCCGTAATGAGTCGGAAGCATTCAACGATCCACTCGTTACGCAAGTGGCATTATCATTTCTATTTTTAACGCAATTTTGTGCATGTTAATGCGATTCCTTTTCTGTCATGAAGCCTGCATTGGGTCTTTTTGCAGGGGCTTTCTAAGCACTTGAGTGGCTCCGTCAATGAAGAAAAAAAAAGTGGTGAGGCTCTGTGGTAGAATGTTCGACTACCATGGAGAGGGCATGAGCTCGAATCACGTTGTTTTCCTTTTTTTTTCTTATTTCGTGCGCTGGCGGTTTCGGACTCCGGCAGTGGTGTCGGTGGACAAGTACGACGCCAAAAATGGTTGTTGTTGTCATCTCATGGCAGCCTTCGCTGTAAAAAAAAAGTAATCTGAACGATGCACGATGGATAGTCAAGAGGTTGGCGTGAGCGACGGTCATTTTAAAATGGCTGAGTGAGGTCGCAGTTCGGTGCAAATACGTACCTTTACATCAAATTAGACACGTAGCACAAATTACACGCAGTGTTAAGTACATCAGGTATTCGCCTACCAACTTCAACCATGCTACTCAAGATGCGCTTCCACGTTTTTGTGCTTTTGTCCTCGTTCAGGCGCTTCTCGTAGGCAGACCTTGAAGATCGAACAGCAGCAGTGCTATCTGGTGGGTTCGTGGTACCTATTCCTTCCATGCCGAAATTCTCTGATCATCGGCCATTGACTCTCTTTATTCCGTTTCTCACCGTCATACGAGACTTAAGAAGCGCTGCCTGTCAAAAGGAATCACTCGTAGTTGTTCCGTTATGTCGGTTTCTGCGGGCATCCCAAAGCCGAGTGCGCATCGCCCAAAAGCAAATCAGCACGAGACTGAGCTCGGGTCCGCGTTAATTCGACGCCCACCGCGCTCGCAGAAGAATAACCGCGATTACCTACTTTCGTAATCGCCACTCACCGCTGCCCAGCACGCTCACGGCGTCACAGCCGCGCCGTCGTCGCAAAATGATGCATCGTGTGGCCAGAGAAGATAGAGAGCGCTCTAATGAGCAGCGAGAGGGGCCGAGGATTCACGGAGGATTATACAGAGACCCGAGCTCGGGAATTCGGGATGGAGTGCATCGGGCGGAAAGGTTGGGAGGGCCTTGCTTTGTGCAGTCTGACGGTGTACAGTGAGCACGGGTGTGTGTGTGTGCGTGAGGCTAAGCGGATTATGGCCTCGGGGTCGGGAAACGAATCCCGAGGAGGAAGACGTCACGCAAGCGTGCGGTGTGGTCTCGGCGATACCCGAGTGGCGACACCCCATCCCTGGGGCACTCTTCACAGCGGGGGGTTTTCAAAGCTTGATGGCAGGCCGTGGTTTCAAAAAAAGGGATAAAAAAAAGAGGATTGCACTGCCGGCCCCGAGCATCGGTGCGCAGCACAGACGCATTGCGGCTGTGGAAGTTCGTGACCTCCGCGAATCTCCCTTTCCCTAGCTTTCTTTTACGTTGTATCCCAGTGGGGTTTAGGATAGAGGCTACGCAAAGAGCGTTACGCTGTTGCTTTAACTCTCACGAGTTCTTTCTTTAGGCGTACCTCGCCGATGTAAACTTTTAGCGGTTACCCTACGCTGTTTAGTCTCTCGCGTAAATGTTCTCACGCGTGCGTTTTAATGACCTCCTCGCCGGGGTGGCCGAAAGGCCAAATGCTACAGTCCCGTGTACTTTGATTTAGGTGTACGTTGAAGAACATCAGATCGTCTAAATTTCCAGGGCCCTTCACTACAACATTCCTCATAGTGATATCGTTGTTTGGGGACGTAAAACCGCAACTATCGTTGGTCACGGTGGATTTGGGACTATGGCACTCGGCTGCTGACCCGTAGATCGCGGGTTCGATTCCGGTTGCAGCGGCTACATTTCGCTGGAGCCGAAATGGTAGAGGCCTATGTGTTGTGCGATGGCAGAGCACATTAACGAACACTAGACGGTCGAAATTTCCGGAGCCTTCCACTACGGCGTCTCTCATAATCATATCGTGGTTTTGGTACGTTAAACCCCATGATGATATTATTATTAAAACCCCAACTATTGTTAACATTGTTATTTTTAATTACTACCGTAAATGTTTTCGAATATGTCACATGGTTCGTCTGCACGACGCCAATAGGTCAGCCCCGCCGCGGTGGTCCAGTGGCTAAGGTACTCGGCTGCTGACCCGCAGGTCGCGGGATCGAATCCCGGCTGCATTTCCGATGGGGGCGGAAATGCTATAGGCCCGTGTGCTCAGATTTGGGCGCATGTTAAAAACCCCAGGTGGTCCAAATTTTCGAAGCCCTCCACTACGGCGTCTCCCATAATCATTTAGGGGTTTTGGCACGCTAAACCCCACATATCAATCATTAAAGAAATCAATCAATCAATAGGTTAGCACGCTCTAGAAACTAAGTCTGCAGCCACTGCGCACTAATGTGCGCCTTGCCGGAACACCACCCACCCACCCACCATCGATAACTCTGGGACGTGCTACATTAACGCATTTATAGAGGCCGACGTGTTCCAGCGAACGATGGTTTTTTTCTACGATGGATGACTGTCTGTGAAAATGAATTTTGAGAGTCTAATGTGCAGCTAATACACACCTAATGAGTCATTAGATTGACATTAGACCTGCAAAGCCTAATGTCTCTTAGCAACAGGTGTGCAATGGAGACTCAGATGACAACATGCAGCAGGATTTCTGATGATCGAAGTGCGCAGATTTTCCAGTGCGTGTCCTAATGTTAAAACACATCACAATGAAAAAAATTTGCGTTGATCTCTTATAGCCAACAAAAACTCAATTTCTTACTACTAAATATAATAATCGCGGGAATTCTAGATCTCGAAACCACTATATGATTATGAACAACGCCGCAGTGGAGTGCTTCAGAAATTCCCTTAAATTTTTCATAAGGGGTGAGTGGTAATTATTTCTGCTGGGCAAAATTTCATTCTAAAAAGAGCTGAATCATTACATCGCACCTCATCTGTTAAAGTCTGTATCGCTACAGCAATTTGGCTGTACAAATCCTTTGTTGCGAATCTGCGATTGTAGTAAATATACTCGTGAGCGAATGGTCAGACATGCATGTGACTGTATCACGACTACTTCGTATTGTTTTTGGTTGGCACGTGCCCAGTAGAAGCGCTGATGTGTGTCACATATATCTGCTATGCATGGGGATGATGACAATTGTTTTGCAATATCTCTTTCTCTTTCTACATGGATAGGCTCATTTAGAACCTGTTCCGCGGACACCCTTCAACACATCCACTTTAGCCAGACAGGAATGTCCTTGTCGGCAGCACACGACAAAAACAAAATGCTTGATAAGGGCGTTTTCAAATATGAAAAAAAGTGTGGGGTCCATATCGTGTAAGTGAACATTATGAAAGCGGGGTATTCTTGCGCTTGTCGGTTGGTGGTCGCCATTTCGTTCCCCTGACCTCTCTTGTGAGAGACGAACCAATGGTGATGAAATGCCCTTACGTAATATAATATTTCTTGAGGATTGCTCCGGTAAGTTTGTCGTATAGCGCAGTCAATCAGCGTCACTATCGAGCTGTGAATCTAAGTCGACTTCCGCAAGAGCACAGCAGCACGGTGTGGCGTTTCTTGTACACTGTCGTCCTTTATGAAAGGGAACACGCGAACGCGTGGCCTGCGCTCTGCAGTGGCTGCCTACAGCACCATCAACCGACAGCAAAAGAAAACACGTACACCTTCAGCGTCATCTGTTGCCAAAAAAAATAATAATAACGAGGTATGGCCAGCAGACAAGCGTTGCTAAATTGCACTCCCTTTCTGCTCTGACCTGCAGTGCGTAGTTCACTGCCAACATATCAAACGTTGTGTGCTACCGCGGCGCAGGCTGCAGTAATCGTTTGATATCGCTCGCCGCGCGAGTGGTGGAGGAACGTAATCTAGCAGTGTTTGTCGACCGGCCATGACTCGTTATCTCGCTTGGCCATAGATGGCGCTGAAAGCGAACGTGCTTTCTTCACTTGTCGGTTGATGGTGCTGTAGGCAGCCGCCGCAGAGCGCAGGCCACGCGTTTGCGTGTTCCCTTTCATAAAGCACGACAGTGTATACGTGATAGCGTGAAACCTGCAGCAATGCCGCCATGGCCGAACCACGCAGCTCCACTAGCCGCGCACCTTCACATTGAGTCTAACAACGGCTCTGAATTTTCTTTGTACACAGACTAGCCAGGGCGGCCATCTTTAGGGCTAGAAATGCTACTTTCAGACTTTCCGCTGTGGCTTTTCGCGCCGAGCGCCTCGATCTGCAAATGCGTGCTCCTGCCCTGGCGCAGGTGCGAGAACGTGGACTCTGTGATCGGCTTCATCACCATCAAGGGACAGCGCGAGCGGCTGGACAACTTCTGCGGCTCGCAGCTGCCCAACCAGATCATGTCCAACGAGCACCGCATGACCGTCATCTTCCAGAGCTTCGGCAGCAGGCCGCCCAGCGTCAAGGGATTCCGGGCCATCTACCAATTCGTCACCAGTGAGTATTGTTTCTTATGCACATAACTACTCTTGCACTTGTATTAATATACAGTCGAGAACGAAATTAGAGATACCATGGTAGTGTGTGCCAAATTATAGTTGCAGTATATGCTACTTTTAAATTGCAAAGTTGTGCCATGCTCTGGCTAGCAAACGCAACCATGCGGTGAAGTCGTACTCCGTTCTTGCAGAGGACCTGCCTACCATGTCGCAGACCGACATGTCTATAACGCGTTGAAGACCGGTAATTAATTTGACTTTTGATGACTGGTGCCAATCGAGATCGCTGCAGCTGTGGCGACTTCAAGAAATGCAAGAAAATGACTCCATCATCAGCTTCTCTCCAACGTGTGGTTCCCAGTTGTTTATGAAAAACTGACGTGCACATACACGCTATTTCAAACAAGATGGCCTCATCATCAGCTTCTCCGCAACGTGTGGTTCCCAGTTGCTTATGAAGAACGGACGTGCACATACACGCTATTTCAAACAAGAGCGCCGAACTAGAGCCCAATTGCATAGCAGCTCGTTTGCTCGCTTCAATCGCGTACACACCTGAACATGAGACGGAGCGCAAGGGCCCAATTCTGCAGTCGCCGTGAGAGCGATGGTATTGTTACGTAGTCATGACGGTGCAGAAGACTCCAGCAGAACTCGGAAATACGTATCTCTTTATTTGGCTGAACTTGTGGGCGGAAAACCCGAAATCGAACTGCAAGCGGGCAATGCACACTGTGCGTACACCGATAGCGGCGAACAGAGCGTCGGCTGTCGATAAGATGATCATCGTTGGAACGCACCATCTTTTCGAATTTTCCCGCCTAATCACTGGTGGTCGCACAAGCTCTGGTGTAAGATAGGCTGTCCGCGTCCTGCGCGCATTCTTAACAAAACGATCTGCTACAATCGCGGAGCTTCTCGGAACACTGGGGTGTGGTCTGCGCCGAGCATTGCTGGCAGCCTTTGTGGGTGTAAACCAAGTGCAGCAAAATCAAAACGAGAAGCGTGCATCGCAGTATTGTGGCGAAACTACTTTGTTTATACAGCCCAAGCGTCGTCGTCACGATATCATCGCTTCCATATTGCACCCTCATCACCGGTTCCCTTCGCGCACTTGTGACAGGTGCCCCTTGCCGTAGAGTTCCCTAATATACACTAGAGGGAACTCTGGCGCTAGTGTCTATGGGAGCTGCAACGCTGGCACTAGTGTCTATGGGAGCTTCAACGCACGGCGCTTCAGCGAGCATGGGACTGATGAGTAGTACACACAATTGTCTCGTACTTCTGGCCTGCTTTTGGCTCCGTGTGTGCTCGTGTGGCTTGAGGCTGTTTTCTCACAAAACAAATATTAGCAAATGCTCAGCGGTTGCGCTTCACCATCCTATTCTTTTAGACTTACCTTCCCAAATCGGGTCGCGAAGTTCAATAGGGTTTAATCTTTCTTTCAAAACAAAACCTAAACACAGCATCAAACGAAGCCGCAAGTACAGTTCGCTGTCAGCAAGTACGAGGACTAGGCAAATGTGTGTGCTGCCCATCATTACTATGGTCGCTGAACGATCGCAGCGCCACTGTTCCCTCTAGTTAACTTTACGAAACTCTATGCCCCTTGCAACCGCCGACGACTCTTTCACGTGTATCGCGATACTCGATAGTGGCGGCACTTCCCGCCGGGCTCCTTTGTCTCGTGACGTATACCCTACAAGATGTCGCTAGTGCTGTGATGAGCGTGCAGTTGCCCTTTGAGCTTGTTATGTAACGGACGAGTGTCGTTCGCTTGGAGGAAGAATATCGCGAATCAAAGAAGTGCCAGCACTCACAGATGCGTGAAAGGGCACGGAAGCGACGTGAACCTTCTGGCTGCGCTGGCTGACACCTTCACCGTAGGCTAAGAAATGTTTTCGTTATTGTTTTACAAACTTGCCCTTTCTTTTTTTTATTTCGACTCGATGTGGCTTTCTTTTTTTCTTTCTTTTTTTACAGATTTTGGCATTCCTTCCGGTCGTCAGGACCCGCAGGGTGGTAAGTTTCAGTTTTTCTGACTTCTCCGCCTGTTTTGTTATTGCGTACTGTCGTTCACATCAACCCGGGGGTCGAGCATTTAGTGAGTGATGTGTGTGTCTAACATAGAACGCGTCCTTCAATTCGCCATGGTGTACATTCAGCCTGCATTGCTGCTCCTTCAGCTACGCTCGATTGCGCTCGTTTGATCCCCGTCGTCATATTGTTGCTGGTATACTTTAACGTCGCTCCCGAAATTTACAAGCTCGTTAAACGCCCTGCTGTTGGCGCTATCGATTACCGTATAGCTTCAGGGGCACGCCGGAATTTTTAGATGGAAACGCTATGTTGCACCTGGAAAACTTAATGCCTTTTCGAGACGGATTCACCAGTGGGTAATCGTGCACTTATACCCCCGTTTTCACATCGAATGGCACCGATAACAAAAAATAGCCCATTTATCGCAGGCAAGCTGCATCAGTATGCGAGCCCGCTCCACTTCTGAAAAAGCGAAACCACATATGTTGATTGATTTGTGGGGTTTACCGTCCCAAAACCAACATATGATTATGAGAGACGCCGTAGTGGAGGGCTCCGGAAATTTTGACCACCTGGGGGTTCTTAAACCGAAACCACATATAGGCTGCGGCGTTGCCCGAATGTGAAATTCTGCTCGCTCAGCTCGAACATTCAATTTTAACGCGGTAGTGTTAAGGAGATTTTTCGGCAGATATCCTGGCGACTGTTATGAGCGAAAAATTGATGTGGTCCGCAAATTAACATTCTAGGTATACGCAAAATAATAAAAATCTTGTGTAAGTATAGGAAGAAGAAAGAGAGAGAGAGAAAGAAGTATAGGAAGAAAAAAAGAAGGAAAGAAAAGAGGTAGGCCAGCTTCGCTTGGCGTTATTTTCCTAATAGGGCAAGAACTTCTGAGGGTTTTTTTTTTTTTCTCTAAGCATACGAACCTTGGTCACAGCATGAGTCCGAATGACTGTGCTTGCTGACGAACCTTTCTCTCTCTCATTTTTTTTTGTGCTTGCAATAGTTCCGTCAATCGCGAGGCGTGGGCTAGCAGCCTTCCCCGCGGATCCCGCTTCGGACGCCACTTTTCGCTGCGACGCGCAGAAAACGGATAAAACGAAATTCGAAGTGTGAATTCCACTTCCTGGGTGCTCGTGCTCTCTTCTTATATTTCCCCGCGAAGTTTTATAGGAAGTCCACTTCAACGAAGAGACAATGGAGCTGCAGTGTCTCCTATTCGTGTTGCCGGCAGACTTAATTCGTGCGTGTTTGGGGACAGGCCCTTCGGAAGACGGGATCTCTTAAGGAAGTACGGGCCGTTTAATCTCACGTCGACACGTTCTGCCCAGCTTTCTATATCCTCACTGTTTCTTTCTTTTTTTTTCCTTCTTCATGCTGCTGCTTTCCGTTTATTCGATTTGGCAGAGTGACCCGGAAGCCGAGCAGAAAGAACGTCAATCACGGACGTTTCGCGCGATTACCATAGCGAAAGCAGGGCGCAAACACGGGAGACAAAAGGAAATGTCGTCGCGTTTCTCGTCAGCCCAGTTGGCAATAAAGTAACGCGAGAAGAGAACCGGGACGAGAACGAAATGACGGGGATATAATTCGTGACAGGCGGGGAGGGAAAAAAGGAGTGGTTAGGGTTAAGGAACAGGGTGCGCTGGTAAGGAGACGAGGCGTGGTGGGCAACTATGGCTACGTACGAGCGTAGACAAGCCGCGGCGGTGAATCTATGGCGCCGTAGCCAGAAGTGGCAGCTTGGCAACTTTTTTTTCTCGCAAAGCGAGAGAAAAAGACGTATCCCACCCGAACCCATCTCGGACCCCGAAGTGGGGCGTCGTGTTTGTGTTGCGGCGGCGGCTTTGTTCTTGGCCCGTCGTTTCCCATCTCGGCTTGTTGCTCAACGACGCGTCTTAGTCGTCGTCGTATATACGCAATGAAATGCTGGGACGTCGCGAGTGTTTTGGGATCTCTCGGGCACACAGCGGCGCCTTTCTCTGTTCGAGTGTTGTTTCTTTCCGCGACGAAGAAGAGGCGATGCTCGACTGGGATGCACGCGGAATGGAATAGACGAGAGAGAGAGAAGGAAAAAAACGAAATAAATGGCTTCCTCCCGGGGATGGCGTTTTTAGCTGCGGACTCCCAGACAACGCCCGTTTATTCGAGCAGCGAATGACTCTCCGGGGCAATAATTTCTGGGCCCACAACTGCGCGTCTGCAGCGTTTCAAGAAACGGTAAATATGGCCGCGGAACGAAAGACGAGAAAAGAAAATTGGAGATGAAAGCACCCAACTGACGCGAGAAGCGCGAAGAATAAGCAAAAAAAAAAAGTGAACGACGCTGCGATAACTGGCCACAGGCCTTGCGACGAGGCTTAGGATCGCTTGCATCTCTTCACTCTTGAGGCTGATAGTGCGAGACGCCTGAAATGCAGACCCACTACGCTATCACTCGTTTCCCGAGCACCGTAAGAACGACGCTTGAGACGATGTTCTTTTCCAAATTGCTTCGACTGGTTGTCACTTTTCATTTAACGCTTCTCCTGATTGTTGCATGTGCGGAATTTCTTCTTTATTGATAGTGCCTGTTGGGTACATCAATCGCATTTGTGTAGGGTTTACGCTGAATGTCAAAACGTGCTGGCCGTGCGCTCCTAATCTATCGAGGATCCTTGCGACTGCGCGCCGCGCTCTCCATATACCACCCAAACAACGACTGCGAAGAGTGGTGCGACTCGACAGTTCACTCTAAGGTTCGCGACCATTCACTAAAGTTTGTCTCTGCAGATACTTACGTGCGCCCTTTTCAGGATGCTTGGTTTCGTTTTATTCTTCTCTTTTCGCCTTCTTTTAGTCTTAGCTTTGCTCTTGCGCAAAACTTTTGGGAGCTCTCAAAAGCTGTTTGCCCCCATTGTCAACGAGTAGCTTACCTTACTATGCCGAAAAAAAAAATGACAGCCTCTCGGCACGCGATCGCCCTAAGAGGACCCTTATAAGTGTTCGCGACAGGTCCTCGTCCTTCGTCGTCGCCTTCCATCGCCACCGCCTCGCTCTTCGTCTTCCTCACTCCAGCCCCATGCATCTGCTTCCTCTTGAACGCGTACCAACGGCTTAGAAAGCCAGGCTCACTTTCGGGACGAGAACTCCTCGCCAGCTCTTCCTTGAAAAGGGAGAATCCCTCGAGAGGCCAGAGATTTAGCGCCGCCTGGTGCCAGAGACAACGAACTGCCGCCGAGCGCCAAGTTTGTTCCTTGGCTGCGACGTGGAGCGCTCCAGTCACGGGAAAAAAAAAAAAAAAAAAACTCCCCACGGCACGGCCGCCGTTCACGCCAGGGTGGCCGAGAAGAGCTCTTTGCATGCGTCTCCTCTTTTTGCGCCCTCTCTCTCCCGGTCTTTTTCCCTTTACGTGCTAGCGTAAGGGACGGATGAAACGTCCACTGCTAACGATAAAGAGCGTATGTATATGGCTGTCTAGAAGGCCGAACCGGTGGTGCAGCGTAAGGAAATATACATACCCTCCTTGTTTATTGGAGAGTGAGCCCTCGCCCATCTCGGCTGATTATTGACGACGCCTGCAAATGAAGACGGAAGAACGTGCCAGCATGCGTTGCGTTGAAACCTGTCGGTTTGAACGCGGTGTTGTCGCAGGAGAAGTGGTTCCCTTTATTTTCCATCCCGAGCGCATATTAGGCACGCTGAACAACAATTTGGCTACTGCGCTGTCGTGAGCTTGACGAAGTGTCTCGCTGGAAAGCTAATTTTAAAAACAAACAAAGATGTTATACACTTCAATTCAAAGTTTGTTGAAAGGTAGATAAATGGTGAAGGAAAGAAGTGTGGTTATTTCGGCTTTCTATAGGATGCTGTCCTACACGTCAAAAAAATCCGGCGGTAAGAGGAAGAGACATAGATAGATGAAACGCATCAAACTATATGCTTCGAAGACGTGCTAGGCTACAGGGGGGGCACTTTGGTCAGTTGTGGTCAAGTATTGTAGAATGACGTGTACGTCACTTTTCTGGCTTATAAGATGCGAGTCCGTGCTTTCAAAGTTTTCGTCATGTAAACTACCGATCGTCAAGTGTGTGCAAGGCACGATGGAGAGAGCCTGGTATTGTCTGTCAAACTGGAAAAAGGCGGCACAGGAGGTTGTCGGTTATGTATTCGTGCGTGAATTAGGACAAATAATTTCGTTGATTTGTAGACGCACATGCTTACATGCCGCAGTAGCAGTCTAGAGAGGATTTCGGGACAATGTAAAAAATACAAGTATAGGCCAATTACACAGGAAATAAATTTTGGATTGAAAAGGCAAGAGCACGCATTGCGCGTAAAGTGTGGATTCACAGTGTCACAGGGAGCAGTTACAGAAGTTTTTATGCTAGAAATAAGCGTTTGTGATCGGACAAACATCCGTTGCTATCGCAGTCTCTATCTGTCCACGCGTTTCCTTAAGAAAATTGTGATACTTAATCATGACTCCTTATTCCATTCTGCTGTTCTACTCTTCTAAAACGAAACAGGACAGATTAAAATTAACTTTTAGGTGAAAAAAAAAACGTTGATTATCCTCTTAGCATGGTAGCGGACAGCAGCCCAGAAATAAACGTTGCGATTTCATTTAGCATCATTGTCTGACAGTTTTGCTTTCGGAATTACAACAACGAAACGATTATTTACTTGGTTTGCGCGTGCTCCAGTACTCGGCATAGACTGCTGAACCGACAGAAAAGCTGACAGTGGCCATTTTAAGTCTTATCGCAGTTCTCGCGTAGGCGGCAAAATGGACAACTTTGTGAAGACAGCGTTGGAGACAAATACTATGCAGGCTAATCTGCTGTCCAGATGAAATGGTGGCTAATAAAAAATATTTTTTTCTCGCCGGCATGACCATATGCCCAGAACGATGGAGGCTAACCTGCTGTCTAGATGAAATGGCGGCTTATCAAAATGTCTCATTCTTGTCGGTATGGTCATATGCCCACAACTAAACA